AAACTTTCTGCTCGCTCTATTCACTGTGTTTTCATTGGCTATGCATCTGGATATAAAGATTATCGTTATCTTGAGCTTAAGTCTGATCGGGTGTACATTAGTCATCATGTTAGGTTCATTGAACATAACTTTCCATTTTAAATTCTTAGTGTTCCCTCTTGTGAGTCTCTTTCCTCAACCTTGTCTGAATTTTATCTAACCAATACCCTTCACCCAACTCCATTCTATCTGCTGCATAGGAATCCGAACCCATCAACTCCTTCTCCTGCCGACACCTCCTCCCACCTTTCCAGTCTGGTCGCTAATCCACACAGCCAGAGTCCACTAGCCCACAACAACTCGCACATCCCACCTATATCTCCAGCCGCACCTTTCTTCTTATCCCTACCACATACAACTTTAGTGAAGGAAGCATAATCAAATTCATAAAGGAAAGATGCACGACGAGCGTGCGTGGACGCTCACCGAGCGCGCAGAGCGAGAAATCACGGGGAAGCTACTGCTGTCCACGCTCGCCGAGCGTGGTAGGAACGTTCACCGAGCGTGGCTCCGAAATGCGGAATTATGCTCCAGACGCTCAGCGCCACGCTCTCCGAGCATGGGTGCCGAGCGTGCCCCCCAGAAGTCCCGATTTCACCTGGATTTGACCGTTTTCTATATATATCTCCCCTAAATCCCTATTTTGAGGGAAGAAGCTTAGAGAGAGACCTAGAGACGAAATTTAATCTAATTTTCCATCTTGTTCTTCAATTCTCTTGGATTATTTGTAAGTTCCTAATTATTTTTATTTAATGATAATTAATTTTGTTCATCACAATTCTATATATTGATTCTTCAATTATGAGTTGTGAGTAATTTTAATTAGGTATTTGGGATTGATGAAGGGGTTATTCATGATGTATGGCTAAATTCATGATGAATTAATTGCATGAATATATTTAATTTGTGTTTGAATGATTTAATTGATATCTCTTCTAACCCAGAATCGCCACTAGGATTATAATTGCATACATGTAGAATAAATTAAGAGAGATCTAGCTTATTCTACGACACCTTCAAACACACTTAATCGTTCATTAAGAGATTAGTAACGATTAAGGGACCGTACGCTCGTTCGGTTTGGCAATAATTTTAGGATCATGTCGCATGAGAGATCAGCCTAGTCTTCTAAATTATTGTACTCTACGCCGTGACAACGGTTTGAACTTAGTAATGATTAGTGAGACTCAATTAAATTAATTTCATGTGATTATATCTGATCAGCCAGAAATCTGATTGCCCTGTATTCAATCCATGTTCCCTTCGTCGTTAATTAGAAAGCCCCAAACTTTATATTCCTCCGTTTGTTTTCAATCGCTGAATTTAATTAATTCTTAATCCCTTTTGTCCGTCCCTGTGGAGACGATACTCGTACTTGCACCCTATATTACTACGATCTATTTTAAGTGCGAGAAAACTCACATCAGTTTTTGGCGCCGTTGTCGGGAACGATGTCAGTTTTAAGGGTTAATTAATTTCAGCGATTTATTTTCTTAGCTTTTTCGTAGGATTTGTTTTCTGTGCTAACCGTTCAGGCAATACGCCATTTCCTCAAACCTCCACGGAATATTCACCACATACGCCATACCCTCATTACACTCCTCATCAATATTACAATCCTTATCAATATTACTCTTCTACACAACAAAATTGTCACTCTTCTTATTCGTACCCTCCTCCAAATCCGCAACATTCCCAATCTCAATCCCCTCATCATTATGCTTATTCACAATATCCTAGGACAAAATCAGGCTCCATTCTTGAATATCTTGTTTAAACTAAAAATCCCAAGGAATTGGCTGATTACTTTCCTAAAAATGACATTATTTGTTCCTTCTATGGAGGAGGTCACCATTTATGCCTTTTTCCCATTCCTCCGTATGACCCTCCTTATCAGGAAACTACAGAACGCACTTCTTCCTCCCCCACACTTTATAAGCACACATGTTCCAGTCACTCCTACATCCTTATTAAGTAATGAGCCACATAATCAATTGGAGGAGGCAGAACATAAGATACCTGAATGGAAGAAAACCCACATAAGCCTGAGAGAAACACTCAATTAGTTTACGCAAATGGCTGCAACATGTCTTCAAACCATGCAGAACCTAATCAACGTGGTGAGTCAGCCGGCAGAAGCCCAACCTGAGGAGACCAATAGGGATGATCATGGGAATGAGTCAGACTGCGATGGTGGGAATATGATGGATGATCGATACACTTCCTGATGCTTTTGAAGTCCCACCTCTCTTTGAATTTCAACAAAAAGAGAGTAGTCTCGAGTCTGTGTACCAACAATCCATGCAGTACATGCAAACGTTTCAAGATGTACAAGTTGAAACTGAAGAAGTAACGAATCAAAGTGATTTTCATGTGGAAACTCTCCAAGCGATTGATTTACCATTAGTCTCAACCCCTGACGAGGACATGGAGCAGATCAGTAATGACATTGATGAAGCCACTGAAGTAGGTTTGAGAGATAAAGATGCAAACGATATGTTATTATAACAAATGTTTTGTCCAAAAAAGGTCTAAGAATAAAGTAGTTTATAAAATATAATCTAATTAATATTTAACAATCATTTCCTAGCTTGCACCCATAGACCAACTTACTTTTAGATCTTACATAAAGAAGACTACACAAATTAATTAAGGGAAATTACCCAAAATAGGAGCAAATGACATTTGGAATTCTAAAAATAGGACTAGTATGTTTTTCTTCCCGAAATATGAGTTATTACTGTCATGTATGAAAAATATTGTCATGATTGAAAAATACTGTCATTAATTATAATGAATATTGTCATGTTAAATGCACTATACTGCAACTATTTGACAGTCACAGCTACAAAATGACAGTAAATACTGCCATATTAGTCTCATTTTGGGAATAAAAACAAAGTAGTCCTATTTTATAATTTCAAACTTCATTTACTCCTATTTTGGGAAATCTCCCATTAATTAATGGTACACGTAATTTTATATACTTAAATGAACCAAGAAGTACATAAACAACAAATAACAAAAGGGTGTTCTCTAGTGTCTGTTTGGCCGAATCGCAATGCCTTGTGAGTATGTGGGTTGGACATGGATCCCTGCTCATATACTCCATCAAAAATAAGATGATTATTGTTGAACTGTTTCGAAAAATAAAACTTATTTATTATTACCAAATGAAATAAATAATCAACTTCGTTTATTATTTATTCAAGAATTAGTATATAATACTCCCTCCGTCCCATTTTACTTAGCCAATTTTGACTTTTCAAGTCAATGGAGTATAACTTTGACCGATTATATGTTTATATAGAGAAATTATTAATAATATGAAAATGATATGAAAATGTTCTTTGTTAAAAAATTTATCATAAAAGTATAAAATTATTAAGTTTTGCATAAATATATTAATTTAAATAATTGGTCAAAGTTTACCATCTTTGACTGGAAAAGTCAAAGATGACCAAGTAAATTGGGACGGAGGGAGTATATTATAATAAAAAAAAAACAATGTTAGATGTGCATATATCCCCAGTCTATTAACTTATTTGCATAAGAGTTGTTTCTGTTTTGTCTTCTTAAAATTACTATGTCCATCCTAAAACTATACGTGTTCCTTCTTTTTATTCAGCCCCAAAAAAAACTTCAATTATGTCCTTGACAAAGAATTGGGTATCGTGTCATTTCTCTTATCTCCACATTTTATAGTCATAGAATTTGAATTTTTTAATAGGGGGAACTATCAAATAAGCCCTCGAACTTTCATAAAAAGTGCAACTAAGGCATTTTATAGGAGGCTCTGTCCGGCCGTCGCCATTTGGGACGGTTTCAGGTAGAATTTTTTGATGAAATTTTTTGAGTATCTTCTTCAATAAGTCTAGTTTATTCATACCAAATTTCAGCTAAAAATTGAATCGGGAAGACAGTCAAATGAATTTTTGAAGATAACTGCGCAGTTAGACAGCGCATTTTATTTCAGAAAATCATTTGACTACCTTCTCGATTGCATTTTTATCTGAAATTTGATATGGGTAAACTAGACTTAATGAAGAAGATGCTAAAAAAATTTCATAAAAAAATTACACCGGAAACCGCCCCAAATGGCGACAGCCGGACAAAGCCTCCTGTAAAAGGGCTTATTTGCACTTTTTATGAAAGTTCGAGGGCTTATTTGATAATTCTCCCTTGTTAATATTCATGTAAATATATTCAAAGTTTCAAACCATGAAATAATATTTGGATACAGAAAATATAAGTCCTTGAATGTGAATGTCATTTTAAGGATGTACTCAATTTGTCTGACAAAACTTGACTAAATTAACTTTTCTTTATTAATGATAGTGAATTTTAGACAATAATATTTTATTATGAAAGTAATTTTAATCAATACTTATTTCATACAATATTTATATGTTTTTAATAATTTCAATAAAGTTGACTATCACATGTCAAGAAAAATCGATATGGTCAAATTTTGAGGGGGCCTAGAGGGCCATATTTAACTCCCAAAAAGGCATCCATGAAATTCATTCTTCGGGAAGGTCGAATCTCCAACTCCAAGCGTCCCCCACGTCTCGACCCGACAAGATTTTTGGGAGAATGTTAGTCACGGTGACTCAGTCGGTCCAATAGTGGTATATCTTGTACCCGTGTGCATCAAAAGTATAGTCCGTCATGTAGGAGCTGTACGTAATCTCCACACGATCGTTGCGGGATTCAATTCTTGATCATTCTTCTAACTTTCTCAACACTCAACCAACCGAACTTATATCGATCAAATTGATCAACCGAGGGAGGTAGTATACGTACACTCCTACACGGTCTACGCCCAGTTGGGGTGACTTCTCTTCTCTTTGTATTGAAATCAACGGTTCTAAGTAAATTTCGCCTTCTACCGTCATTAATGGTGGGACAGGAATACAGTACAAAAAGTACGATGTATCTTCTTGTGACAAGTAAATGAGTAATTAGGAACAAGACGCGCACTTTTATTTCTTTTTTTTTGAAAGGAACGCGCACTTTAATTTGCACAGAGAAAAAGAATAATCACACTGTTTTTATTGCTGGAAATAGTGTATAGAAACAACAGGTAATTACACATTGCCTTTAGGAGAAAATAATAACGTTACATCAAATTAAACAAACGTAACACAAACGTAAATATTAATTTTTTTTATATATAAATATTATGTATATAGAAATCTGCATGCATGCAGTTGAAGTTGACTTATAGACTTATTAATTAGCTAGATATATACTCCGTATAATTCTATATAAATAATATATATGTGTGCCGTGTGTAAGTTTTTCTTCATCATTAATTAATTAATTAATATAATCGGCCTGACTGCCCAGAATGGCATGCAGCTAATTAAATTAATTAATTACAACATGGGAATGTGAACATCCGCCACCGCTGCCGCTGCCGCTGTCGCTGCTGGGAGATGAATCTTGTCCGGGCAGATGAGCGAGCCGCGTCTGACGAGGTCAATGAGGTGTTCGGTGGTGAGCTCCGACGAAAACCCCGGCAGCTTGAACTTTTGTGTTTCGTCGGTCACTATAACTAACACTACCGGCGGCGCCTGTGGTACGACTAGTACTTGCTCGGCGGCGGCCGAAAACGGCTTCTTGTCCTTCTTAACATTCTTGCCTTTGTACATCATGTAAAGGACCATTTGTAGAATGCTGAAGAAAAATCCCAGCACATTTGGAATCTACATTGACGTTATTAAATTAGAAGTTGTTTAGAATCAAAACATAGATAAAGTTATACAATAAGATTAAATATGTTTTATTCCCTAAATCGACATTCTATTAAAAATATACGTTGATTAAAACTTACCAAAATTTGAGTCAATGAATCTTATTTTAGGAATAAAACAATTGTAGTTCTACTTATGAACTTGATTCTTGTTTTAGTTAATTCATAATGATACATACTAATTATGATTTAATAAATTCTATGTGTGTTGAGTTTATTAAATAATAAATAGGGCGCGTTATTGCACGTACTATGATAATAAATTCCACACATATTAAATTTCATATATATATGCAGGGGCGGACCGTAGTAGTAGAGACCCAGGGAGGCTACGGCCTCCCCAATAAATTTTTTATTTAGTGTATATATATACGAAAAATAATTTTTGCTCTTCCAGAAAGTATTTTGAACCCCCAAAAATATTTTCGTCCCCCCAAATGACTTTCCTGGGTCCACCCTGTATATATGTGAATTGTGTTTGTGTGTGTATATATAGTACAATATATACGGAGTATATATATATATACTCCGTATAATTAAAAAATTAATCGAAGTACTTACCGCAATGTTTACGTCTTTAAGGAACAAACCATAGCAGAACCATATGACTGCACTCAGCGTTAAGAACACTGAGAGGAGGATTGGCATGTGTTCAACGCTCTTTGTCCTTATCACTTGCCTCTGTACCATATATTTAAAATTTAGAGTTTTATTATTTTAAAAGGACAATCTAATCAGGTCAATCTAGAAGTGTAAAATGTAAATGGTGCATTTGTATATATATAGACTCTTATATTTGTGAGGTCCCAATTTTTGTAGGTATGTCCTAATGAGATCATTAAAATAAAAAGTATCACTAGTAGACCAACAACAGAAAATTAAATCAGACTTATAATTTAAAATTTACATATTCGGAAATCACATTGAAAATTTGATGAAGAAAAGTGATTTTGCAAATAATTTTGGAATGAAGAGAGTAGATGAATGGTATTGTGTATATCATATTTCTATATATATGTCTCTCTATTATTTTTTTGAAAGGTCTCTCTGCTCTGTTATTTTATACAAAATAAATAATTTCGGAGGATTTTGTTACTAGATTATAAAATATAATTAGTGTGACATATATCAAAGCAGTGCCAATTTATGAATCTTGAATAGTATATCCATTCAAATTTACATATTCACTCATTTCATAACACAGTAGTGTAATACATATTTTGTGTTTTACTCCGTATTTGTAAAAAAATATAATGGTTGTAATTTTAAAATAAAGATGATAATAAGAAACAGGAAATGCCTCGCGTACAACCGGTTAGGGTACTCAAAATCTTAGGGTTCGCCTTGCAACTAACATAAAAAAATAACGAATCAATTCTGTCGTAATATAACATTAAGAGCATCTTCATTCATGATTTCAAAATAAATGTTTTTCTATTACACATCATTATATTACCACATCATATTTATTTAATATTTTTAAATAATCTCAAATCTTAAAACTCTTCATTTGATACTCAAATAATTAGTTTTAATTTTCTAGCTAGATCATGCATTAAATGCAATTTAACTACAACCTAAAATTATTCGGGATTCAAATCTTGATACTGGATTTTCCTTTTCAATAATCTCTTAATAAATAATCTCTCACTCACAATGATAATCTTTACAATAATCTTCCACATCATCCAATCAAACCTTAAATAATCTATGGGATGAGAATGCCCTAATAACATTGATATTTATTTGGAAATCAAACTAGGAAATGTTTTAAAACCTTTTAAATCTAAATGAGAGAAGCAACATCGAGACACGAAAGGGCTGGAGGGGGCCTCAGCTCTTCCGTGTATATATCTATGTATAAATATTTATAAGTTCCAAAAAAATATGTTAGTGGCCCACCTAAATACATAGTATAAATTTCTAACCTCTAGCCCCCTAACAATACTTTTCTGACTCCGCCAAGAAACAAATGGTAATATAAAAAGTAAAAACTTACCAGAATGCATAAGGGGGCAACAAAAACACACAAGGAGAAAACGAGGCAAACCCAACCGACAACTTGGGCGCGAACCGCCCCTTTGAAGAAAAACTGAGAGACGAGGACGACAGCGCCGAACCCCACAACCACCATGAGACCAAGCATCTTTAGGGTCTGAACCCTCGCCTTCTTGGTGGCGTAGAACATGTAGAAGCTGACGTATATGGTTTCTATGAAACAGCCGAAGGTGTTTATGGTAATTAGAAGGGTGGTGTTTGCTTTCAGAAAGGCATAGTATATCCATAGCATTGAGCTAAACAGTGCTACTACGTATGGTATTGACTGATACCCTTCTCCAGATTTCTTCTTGTAAATCTTATAGAATGTCGGCCTGCATATTTTGAATATATGAATGTAATTAATAATGGTAATAATTCACAAAATGTAATACTTCTTTAATATATAATCCATAGGAGGATCTACATATGGTCTACGATGAGCTGAAGCTCAGGGAAATTCAATTTTTTTCAAACTTTTATTGTTACTTTTTCATTTTTTATATTTAGTCAACCCCAAATTCTTGATTCTGCCCTGTATAAGCCATTAAACAAATTAATGTATATATAACGAAAGAGGAATAAACTAGTACTACTACTCACAGTGGAGAGAGGAAGACTATGAATGAGATTATGTTTCCTAGGACTCCAAACATGAAAGTCAAATGAGCTGTAGAGAAAGGCATAGCTAGGTGCTATACTAATGTTGATCTTTATGTATATTAAAATATGTTGTTAGTTATATGTGTTAAACTAACTTCTATCTAATGATGATCGAATAGAACTGATGAGCTTAGAGCTTGCTTCTCAATTCCAATTAATGAGTGAGATGGAGTAGTCGGGAGACCTTTATATAGGAAATAGAATGTGGAAAGTGCTTGTTTGCTTTTAAGAAATTTGTCCAAACTACAACATACATAAAGTGTATAAATAGGAGTTGACCTTTGTTATGTTTTTTTATTATTATAAAACTAAGACTTGGTTGGAGTTTTTTCCCATATTAATGTTAATTAAATACGGAGTATATAATTACCAAAACACTACTGGGTAAAAAATAATTCCCAAATACTGTAGTTAAGGAGAGTCGTCAGTCGAAGTGACGGTTCTATAAGCCGTCAGTTCAAGTGGCGGCTCTATTGTACAGTCACAATGCTACAATCAAAACACAGCCCAATCAACTCAATAAAAAATCACTTGCTCTTCATACCCTAGACAACTCAAAAGAATCAAACAACTGCTTTTTATAGTCAATATATGTTGCTAAAAAAAGAAAACAAATCTGAGACATAAATGAACCAATGGAACTACATTGGTCATCACAATACTAGAAATGACAATTAAAGTTAATAATAAATACGGTGTTTAGCAAAATAATTCGATCAGCTAGTAATAATTCGATCAGCTAGTACATGTTTCACACAATAATGTAAAGTATAAATGTCACAAGTCAACGTGATCATCATCATAAAGCTCATATGGTTGTGTCTGTCCTAGTGGTTGTGGCTGAGGTTGGGAGCGTCTGCGTTGGTTACGAGGCTGAAGAGGCGCTCTATCACGTCGTAGTGCCTGAGAAGACCCTACTGTAGATGTAGATGTCATGGAATACTGAGAAGCGGCCAGATATCCCTAATCTACTCGGCCCAATACATCAGCACACAATGCAGCAATGCAAGCATACCTCGTGATATCACTGTACATCTACTGTCTCATCAAGTACATCAGTCACTCTATCATGGATTATATGCGGGTTTAATGCACCAAATCCCCCTGTGATATGGAAATTCGGCGCATTAGCCCCATGTGATTTAAAAAATGCGTCAAACTCCCTTGTGTTTTAATTAATTATGCGCAAAATCCCTTCTATGAACAAATTCAATTATCAAATATAAGAAAAATGATTAACATTTTTGTATGATTTAGAGATTTTGACATATTTACTTTCATATTCAATCAGAATATTAGGAAAAGTGATCTCAAAATCATTAAATTTAGTCATAAAAGGGGTTCTGTGCATGATTAATTAAAACACAGGGGGGTTTGATGCATTTTTCAAATCACGGGGGGCTAATGCGCTGAATTTCTATATCATGAGGGGGTTTGGTGCATTAAACCCGATGATATGCAAATCCTCTGTCCGTAAAAGAAGCGACTGAGCGACTGAGCTACACTAGTAATGATCGGTGGGTAGAGTGACAAGTGGGAGAGACGAACACCCATATGATGGTGTAATACCATCTCATGTAATCTGCAGATACTAAGGGGACTATATACTGATGGCGACTTGTGCACTATATACGCCACTCTCTGATCTCATTCCACATGGTGATATAGTGAATATAGCGCATCCCCCAATCTTCGGTGTGCTTCCCTCGTCTTTCGATCTTATGCAAACCTGTAAAAGTATCACAAGGTGCGAGATAAACCTAATGAAGCCCGAACTGTCGTAGTACGCGATCGGAAGTGAAGCTCCACTTCATCAAAACATATCAAGGGCACACATGTTCGTCATGTCTTAGTGTGCTCAAGAGGCAACTGTGCTAGAATCTTATGAGTGTATGGCATCCACATCATCTGTAATACAAAATATTGTGATATCATAGTTTATAAAATCGTTAAACAAAGTACTTATACTTCAAAAGATACAATGTATACTTGATCATCACACATGCCATCTAATGCATCCCGATAGTATCCTAATCTAGCAGCCGCTGACGTGCGAGTGACAGCAAAAAGCCATTTGACACAGAATAATGTACAACAACATAAATTGGATTGAAGTACCTCATATATATAATTGAAAAAAATTAAAAGAAAATTCACAAACATACCTACGATCCAAAGGGTCCTCGCCACGGACATGATGTGGTCCAAGTACAAGTCGATCGTGCTCATTCAAAGCATCATGAAAAGTACCACCATCAATCCCATGATATCGTAGTATGACAGGTCGGCCTACCAATATGAATGTGCTCCCTCGACCATAGATGTATGAGCAATAAAAATCCACCCATATCGACACCATCACAATGGCAACCTCGACATAATTGTCTATATAGGTATGTTAAAGCCGCACTCCCCCAACTATAAAGTGTTGCTGCATCAAACGTCTCCAGAATAGATAAGTAAAGGACCTGCACCTCATAACCGCTCTTGTCCGCAAATGTAAAGGCTCCCATAAGCATCAAAATGTAGGCTTTCACGTACCGCTGCACTACAATGTCATTTGCATCGGCAGGTAAAGCAGTTAAATGATATCTCAACCAAGCCAATCTCAAAGCGGACCCCCCGAACAACCGTCCTAGGTTGTGGGCGTACTCCCAACAATCTATGTACCTCATCTACCCACAGTCTGCATGCAGTCCCAGTAACTGCCTGACCCTGGATCGGTTGACCTGCTAGTACACCCACACCTCCCAATGTGATCGTCACATCACCCACGGGTAAATGGAAAGTGTGAGTCTTCTGTCTGCAATGCTCAAGTAGAGCGGTAAGTTTTGATCTATCTAAATGTCATGTCGAAACTAATCTCTGAACACCGTAAAACCATCTAATCAAACATAATGTAAAATCTTGGTGTCCACCTGCATGTGGAATATAGAGTGTGTAGATGCTCATGACACCTATCTACATGAAAGTCCAGTCCACGCCATGCCACACATCCATGTAATATGATGTGAGCTTTCTAGCACTAATAATATGTAGCAGTATAAGGTATAAGTACAAGTATCGTCTCCACAGGGACGGAAAAAGGGAATCAAGAATTAAACAAATTCAGCGATTAAAATAAATAAAATAAATGCAATTATGAAAGATTTAGATTTTTAGAAAATGAAATGTGAATAAACAGCTAATTTAAAAGACTCTTTCTAATTAACGACGAAAGGGAATCAAGGATTGATTCCGGGGTAATCAGATTTCGGGGCTAATCACGCTTAATCACATGAAAATTATTTAATTGAGCAACGCGGGTCAATACTAAATTCTTACCGCTCTCGCGGCGTAGAGTACAATAATTTAGGAAACCAGGTTGATCTCTCATGCGACAAGTTTCTAAGTTATTGCCAAAACGAGCGAGCGAACGGCTCCCTAACTGTTACTACACTCATAGCGAACGATTAAGTATGTGTGAAAGTATCCTAGAATAAATTAGATCTCTCTTAATTTATTCTATGTGCAATTATAATCCTAGTGGTCATTCCAGGTTACAAAAGATACCAATTAAATTATTCAAACACAAATTAAATAAAGATCATGAAATTAAACCATCAAGAAATTAATCCTAGATCATAATTAACCCCTTCATCAATCCCAAATCCCAAATTAAAACTACTTACAATTTATAATTGAATTAACAATAGAATTGAGAAAGAAAGAATTAATTGTCATTAATTAAAAAATAGAAATTACAAATAATCCCAAAATATTAAAGATCCAAGGTTGAAAACCTCTGAAAATTTTGTCCTAGACACTCTCTCTAAGCTCTTCTCGAAAATAGGGGTTTACGGGCTGTTTAAATAGAAAACAGAGGAATTCAGGCCGAAAAAGGAGCCCCGGAGAGCGCGCACGGCATGCGTCGTGTCCATGCGTCCGTAGCAAAAACACATACTCCCTCCGTCCCTAAATTATCTTCAAACTTTCCTTTTTCGTCCGTCCCAAAATTATCTCCTCTTCCCTCTTTTAGCAAAAAATTTGTGGTTCACAACCATTCTTACACATTTCTCTCTCCTCTGCACAACTCTCCACCACACAAATCCCACTATCTTAATAAATGTGCCCAGCCGAAAAGGGAGAAAGATTAGGGACGGAGGTAGTAAAAATGGCCACGCACAGCGTGCGTCCCTGCCACGCACGGTGTGCGTCCCTGCCACGCACGGTGTGCGTGGCCTCCAATAGCCTCTCCGTGATTTCTTCTTCCGCGCACGGCGTGCGTTCTTCGTGCCCAAGGCGTGTGCCTTTACCGTCCGAATTTGACTATGCTTCCTTCACCAAAGTTGTATCTAATGAATTCCTCTATCCATCACAACTTGCAAAACTTAGATCAGATCATCCAATTAAAAGACATGAATAAAATAGTGAAAGGTAACATCCTGAATTCTCAACAACGATTATATGACTTCCTCATTTGTTTTGACCTTGATCCTCTCACATTCTCGTTATGTTGTTTTCATAAGATTTGTATCCCTTTACGTTATCTTTCACATGAAACTTGGATTTTGTACATTGAATGTTTCTACGAAAAGATATGCTCGAATGATTGACAGAACGTCATCCTGATCGTCGTTTTCAAGCTCTATTCGTCCCCGTTTGATCTCATAGCCAATCCTAGAGCTCCTTTTCTTCAAAACTTCATCTTTAACACCTCGTTGACCTCCAATTCTCCTAATCAACTCTCAAATGCGTCTCAACTCTCTTGATTACTTCTCAAACGCCTGTGCTGGGCTTCATTCCCTGATTTTGACTCTAAAAATACCAAACACATACCAAAACCTGGTAAATCATGACTTGAGCTAATTATGAACCTTGTGAAACAATTAAGCTAGGAAAACTATCAAAAACCAATCTCAACATGCATCAAATGCGTGTTAAAATACGGACTTATCAAATTCCTCCACAATTAAGTTTTTGCTTGTCCTCCAGCAAACTAAACTTCAAGAGTTACGATAATTACCACACGACATTAATAACTATCGGCATGCACATGTAGTCAAAAGTATTTTCACAAAAAAGACACATTAAATTAAGTAAATTCCTCCCTAAACTACCTCTTTATAATCTGGCTAAAATTACTGACAAAAATAATCATAACATCCTTGAAGTTAAAGCAGCACACATAATTAATCCTGCTCTTGATGAGAAGGACTT